AGTTGTCTGGAAAACAGTGGATGAATTCGTCAGCAAGGCAGTCCCGATGAAACACAATTTTGTTCTTTACATCCTCTTTACAAACTTCTTGGAAACCTTCATTTTCAGCGAGTGATGAAAATGTTGGGAAAGATGAAACATTAGGCATCTGAACTTGTCTTTGATGTTTCCAAAGCTGGACTTTTTTGTAAATGCATTGATGGCATCATGGTGCATTATAATGTTTGCAGTGTTGTTTCCTTGCAGCTTCAAATTGAGGTTGTTCAAAGATTCAAAAATGTCCACCAGGTATGCCAGTGAAAGCTGAAATGTTTGGTTCGTAAATGCATGATAGAACTCTTCTTTCTTCAGTTGCTTGAGGAAAATTTCCACTTCATCTTTCAGTTCGAATAATCTCAAAAGCATGTTATCTTTGGACAGCTATAGTACCTCCATGTGAAACAAGAGAGTTTTCTGATCTGCTCCCAAATCCATGCAAAGAGTATCAAATAGTCTCATATTTAAAGCACTGTTCTTCACAAAATTAACATCTTTGATGGCCAAATTCAATGAGTCACGTAGGTCATCTGGAAGGGTTTTAGAGGCCAGTGCTTGTCTGTGTATGACGCAGTGAGTTGTGGTTACGGCTGGATTTTTTTCTTTCACCAATGTCACAAATCCAGAGCGAGAGCCAAGCATTGCTGGAGCACCATCTGTGCATACACCAACCAGTTTTCCCCATGGAAGTCTATTTTCTTCAAAAAAGTCAGAAATCACTTTCATAATATCAGAAGCCTTTGATGGGGTCATCAATTCCTTTGAAAAAAGCAGCTCTTCTTTCACAGTTCCATTGTTAATGAATCAAACGTAGACAAACAGCTGACAACATTGGTAGAAATGTAGCCCTGTTAGTCTGGTGCAGCTGAAACAAAAAACAGGACTGTGTAGCACTTTAAAGACTAACAAGATAGTTTAATAGGTGATGAGCTTTCGTGGGCCAGACCCACTTCCTCAGATCAAATAGTGGAAGAAAATTGTCACAACCATATATACCAAAGGATACAATTTAAAAAAATGAACACATATGAAAAGGACAAATCAAATTTCAGAACAGAAGAGGAGGGGAAGGGGTGGAGCTAAATGTCTGTGAGCTAATGATATTAGAGGTGATAATTGAGGAAGCTATCTTTGTAATGGGTAAGCTAAGTAGAGTCTTTATTCAAATTTGAGTGTAAAGTGTCAAATATAAGCATGAATGACAGTTCAGAGGAGTCTCTTTGAAGTGAAGTCTTAAAAGGTCTTTGAAGCAGGATGCAGGTAATCAAGTCGTTGAGACAAGGTCCTTTCTGGTTGAAATGGCAAGAAACTGTTTTTTCTTTGTGATCCTGTCTGATATCAGTTTTGTGGGCATTAATCCTTTGGCGAAGTGTCTGAGACGTTTGTCCAATGTACATAGCAGACGGACACTTTCAGCACATGATAGCATAAATTATATTTCTGGATGTGCAGGAATATGTATTCTTGATCTTATAACTCACTTGGTTGGGTCCAATAATGGTATCAGCAGAGTGAATATGTGGACAAAGCTGGCAACGGGGTTTGTTGCAAGGGAAGGTACCAGGGTTGGTATTAGTGTGGTATGTCCTGTGGTTGTTGGTAAGAATCATCTTGAGGTTAGGTGGTTGTCTATAGGAGACTATGGGTCTGTCTCCCAGAGCCTCTTGGAGTATGGTATCCTGTTCCAGTATAGGCTGTAGTTTATTGATAATGTGTTGGACAGGCAACATTGTGCCACATCAGTGGAATCGTCACACTGAATTGCAAAAAAAGAAGCTAACACTGCCTCCACAACTTGAAGTTTAAGATCTTTCACCAGCTCATCGATACGATGTTTCACAGAATTGTCAGAAAGCGAAATTTCCAATAGCTTTTTTCTTTCTTTCGACATCAAGCACAATATCAGTTGCTTTTAACAAGCAAGACTTCACAAGAGTTTCTCCGATTTATGTGCACTTTCTTGGCTTTAGTGATGAGCAATGACAGTTCATAAGATGCTTCTACCGCTTTGGCCGACGCTTGATGAAAAGCTCCAGTAGTGTTTAGCTTCATGCTTTTCATTTTGAAGTTTAGCAGCAAAAAACTATTTTGGTTTCTCTGTCAAAGCGCTGTGGTTCTTCGTCAAGTGTCGCTCAAGACGACTAGGTCTCGAGGCCTTATTGCTAAGAACTGTGTGGCATACTACGCATTGAGGATGATCAATCTCATTTTTTTCCATGACTGTGAAGCCATACTTAATGTAGTCTTCATGGTACTTCCTTTTCTTAATCGCAGCCATAATATATTAAATTAAAAAAAAATCTATAAAAATAATTTCCCCGATTACAATAAATTTAATGGACGTGAGTTACTTGATAAGTTATTGCAAATGTTTATTTACTACTACTCTTATGTACATACGCATGCTGCCTTATATATACCCCACCACCCGTAACCACGCAAGAGTGGCTACCTACTCCCACAACAAAACAGTCCCAAACACTCCTGCAAGCGTGCTAGAAAGTTTGAAAAAGTTCCATTGCCTTCTACATCGTTCTTTGGCCTTCCCACTAACCAAACCAGTACCCCTACATGTCAAAAGGAAATATAAATATATATATATATTCACATTTCATGGTATGAAATTTGAAAATTAAAATTTGTTTATGGTAGTGTCTCCAATCTTTTTACACCCAAGATCACTTTTTAAATGTCAGGGCAAGCCCGAAGATCCCACCCCTTTCTAGAGGCCCTGCTCTCTCCCTTTCCCTCCTCTCCATCATTTGCTGTCCCCAGCCCTTACTCACTCTCACTGGGTTGAGACAGGATGTGAGGGCTCTGGGGTGGGAATGAGGATTTGGGTGTGGGAAGGGGTGAAAGGTGCAAGCTCTGGGAGGGAATTTGGGTGCAGGATGAGGTGGAGAAGAGGCTTCTGGCTCAGGGAGGGGGCTCCAGGCTGGAGAGTGTTGGGGTCAGGAGGAGTGTTGGGGTGCTGAGCAAACCACAGGCTTGTGGATGAGGGTGCAGGAGTTCAGGTTGAGGTGTCTGAGGGGCTCAGGGCAGAGGGGTTGGGATTATGATGGGCTCAGGACACACATTTGTAGCGTGTGGATTGTGCAGTAGTGTTGTGGCAGAAGACTGAGGATGTGAGACGCTCAGGACAAGGTTCCAGAATACGATAGGCTTAGGATTGAGGTGTGTGTGAGGATGCAGGGGTGTTGTGATGCTGTGGCCAGATGGGGGCTTGGACCCAATCGGGGCCTTATGGGCCAGACTTCATTTTTAAATAATATATTTCCAGCACAAATGTTTCAGCATTGTCTTTATATATGGGAAGAGCAGGGAAACTGTTTTGGTTCAGGGGTCACTGACCCTCAGAAAAATCAGTCAGGGACCACACAAGAGAGATGCAAAAAAACCCCAAACCCTCCTAGCCCCCCCAAACCCCACTGATGTGGCCGCAACTGAGACACATCCCTCCCCTGGCACCCCAGCCCCATGTGGGGAGGGTAGGTAGGACTGAGGTTCAAGGGCTCAGGCCAGATTAATTTTTCTGGGGTTCCAGGGTTAGTGGAATTTGTGGGCCCCTCTACACTCTGAGGTGGGGCCAAAAATGAGGGCTTCATTGTGTGGGACAGGACTGCCAGTCAGTGAGATAGGGATGGGGTGCAGAATCTGGGTGGAAAATAGGCTACAGGAGCAAGCTGGGGGTAGGTGTCCAGCCAGGAGGTAGGGGACAGGAGCAGGGTCCTAATGGGGCCCTGAGCAGGGGGCAGGTGGGGCCCTGGGCAACATACTCATGGAAGTTTGAGCAGGGAAGGCATGGTACTCGTGGGGGTTGTGGTCTGGACAGGGGGGGCAGGGTACTTGTGAGGGTCTCAGCAGGAGGGGCACAGTACTTGTGAGGGTTTGAGCCAGGTACTCATGGGCCCTGGGCCACGGGGCAGGGTACTCATGGGGGTTTGGAGTCTGGGCAGGGTACTTCTAAGGGTCTTCGCATGGGGGGCACAGTACTCATGGGGGTTTGGGCAGGGTACTCTTGGGTTTAGGGTCTGGACAGGAGGGCAGGGTAATTTTGGTGGTCTGGATGGGGGGCAGGGTACTTGTGAGGGTCTTGGCATGGTACTCATCAGGGTTTGGGCAGGGGCAGGATATTCAGGGGGTCAGGGTACTTGTGGGAGTTTAGGGTCTGGGTGGGGGGGGTAGGGTACTCGTGGGGGTTTGGGGTCTGGGT